AATTGGTTGTAAAAGACAACAGCAATTTCCAACGATTACTAAGAGAAATCAGATTCTTGAAAGCATTCCAGCAAAGTTAACATTTAATGCATCTGCTTGACAAAGACTAAAGAGAGACAAAATTTGGTGAACCTACATAACCAAGCATTAATCTCAGGTACTCCTCAGAAGGGACCGCTTAGTGCTTTTGTCCTAAGGAGTGTTTTATTCCCCTTTCTTTAGAAAGGCTTTTGTCAGTAAAGATCAATAGACGAAAAGCAGAAAAGCTTCTTCAGAAGGCTCTTAGGAGAATCTACGATTCTTCTGCAAGATCATCGAAAAGCCATTAACACTTTCCTCCTTTGATATTTCTTTCTTTTCTATTATTTTTTCTATTTCCTGCTGAACATGGACTTTGATGCATTTCACTAAGGTTCTGTCTGTTTCGCGAAAATAAATAATTCGAAATTTTTTTTTCCAAAAATGATGATTTGTATCGTTTGAAATAATTAGTCAATAAAAATATTCTCATTATCGATAATAATTTATATCTCAATATTTTCACGGACGATAAAATATTTTTCGTTTATTTATTTTCGTAAATGATATAAATGATAATTTGTATTCATTCATTTTCTGCTAATTAAATGGAGCCTAAATTCTTTTAGTTTCATCAACGAGGTGGGAAACTTCTCGAAAAGGTTAATTGCTAGTGCCGTGCAATTAATAGCAGGTGGACCAATTGGCCAAAGGAAGGGTAGGTGGACTGACATGCCAGCAAGCGGAATTGGCACATCAAAGAGGATCCAATCAATGAGAAAAAAAAATGTTCCTTTGTCATGATGAAGAAGGGGGTTGATGGGCTCGTGCCTAACAGACAACGACTCTTTTTAATACAGCATTCTCATGTTTGATGTCTTGCTTTTAACATTAGGGAGGGAGATACTTGGCGCGCCGCGGACATGTTTGTTTTCATAGTCACGAATACTTTCATAGCAAATCTAATCCCGTTTTAATGTTCGTGGTGTAGGTAATGTCAACTAAAATGTTATATTTAAGAAAATACATTGGCGATAAGTGCACAAATTTATATATTATGCAAGAAAAACGAGAATCTAAATATCAAAGATAAGTTCCTAACGAAGTACTTGATTTGTTCAATAGTAACCTAAGGTAAGATAAAAGAGAAGTAACAACGGATGGTGAATGCAGAGAATTGAACTCTAAAGCCAGTAGATATATTATGTCATTACGTCATATAACGTAGATTATTATGTTATTTTCTTAAATCAGATATAGTTTACTATCATCAACTAATTTAAGATAAACTATGTTATTTATATTGTTGACATGATGGCATATTTCTAATTTTACGTTGAATTTAAATCAAATTTGTAATGCCACTCTTGTTATATATATTTAGAATAGTATGTGCTGTTTATAAATTTGTGTTGAGATATTCTATCTTTATGTACTTTTTTTTTGTCAAATTGTTTATCAAAAGAGAAGTGGCTTTAAATCAAATTGATAATTTTATTAGCTTACGCTTCACTAATTTAAACTAAATGGGATGATTTTACTATCATGAGTTTTATTAAACCAAATATATATAAACACTTATATGTCAAGGTATTTTATCTAAATCTGTCATTATTTATAAATTTCAAATAACAAGAGAGAAAAGTTGGTCGATGACAGATCAATAATTAATAAAATTCTGTAGCAAGACATTATATTATATGATTTTACTTAATTTTATGTAGTTTACTATCATAAACTAATTTAGGATTACTGAGATAATGACATATTTCTAATTTTACCTCGGATTGAAATCAAGTGGACAATGATACTTTTATGATTTATATTCATAGTAATCTATGTCATTTATAAATACATAATTAGATAATTTATATTTTTATTTTCCAAGATATTCTAGTTAAAAGAGAAAAAATTTTGAAATCAAATTGATAAATTTTACAATCTTAGGCTTCGTTAACTTACTCACTTTGCCACGTAATCTTCAATTCCCTCTTTTACTTGATCTATAAGATAACTCATGAAGCATTTACCTTCACGAGCAACAACGAATGCAAATGCTAAAATTCACAAACCTTGAGAAAACGGGTGAATTTGGATGAACATTGCTGCCTTCCCGCCAATCATCACCGTGCAAGTAATTTTTATGCAGGTGGAAAAAGGGAGTAAAAACATCTAAATAATATGAAAATCGCGAGGCTCATATTACCCGCACTTGTGATGTCCAGATCCAGTTGAATGATGTCGAACACGTTGATTCTCGGTGTCAAGTTATGTCTTCTTAGAAGCGTGCATGATATCTAAGTCAGAAAAGCACCAATCGACGAAATTATGTTTGCAAATCAACACATAAGCTAATAGCAAACTAGAAAAGTAAAAAATAACACTGTATATACATGTTAGAGCTACGCACGGATCCTTAAACATTATATGAAAAGAAAAAATATTAAATGTTAAATAAAAAACGAAAAACAAAGCCTACTAACCTATGTAAATATTGTATCAAAGTAGGAGGACGACGACGACGACGACAACGGCGATTAATATAGTATAACACAAAACAAGCTAAGTTTAGATGAATTTTATGAACTTCCATCTTTCTCCACTACTTAGTTTAATTCAAGTATTTTTAGCAAACCTAAACTCAAGATCGTATGTATTTATCATTATATTTCAAATAATATTGTTTTTATTTCATCAGGCGTTTGATGATGTTTAAACCTTTGATTTGTCAATTATTTAAAAATAACATATAGAAGCAATGCTAAGTGCCTTGGCTTAGAACAAGGAAAAATGTTACGGTTCGAGTACAAGAGTGAACATTCTCTCGCTTCTAACTTTAACTATACAAGTTCCTTCACGTGCATTATGCGCATTCATGATTCAAGATTGATTTGGATGATTTTTTTTTACAGAGATATGGATATGAATTTCACAGATTAGGATGTGCGCTCATGATAATCGAAGATCTTCTAGGTTAGTGCCCTATGATATCGGATTTTAAGTATTAATGATGTTTATGATACGTTTGTTCTACTAAAAATTTCATAATAAAGGAAAATATTTTCCATGTAAAAATTTTCAACGAACATGGATAGTTTTCATTTGTTTTGTGGTTTGAGGAAAGAGATTTTTTTCGTAGCAAAATGGGAAGTCATATCTTAATTTGTTGTTATTAGTCCATTAAAAACATTTTCCGTTGATCGATTAATTTTCCATTATTTAAACACCAGAAAGTCGGAAAATAATTTTTCAGGAATACTTTTTCTTCAAATAAACATACCACTTAATGTTCTTCTTACTTTTTATGAGATGTAGAGATGTTTTGGTCGTATGAGATGTGGACATCAAATTTGGAAGTTGGCTTTATAAATCGTATAGATATAAGAGAATAGAATAAAATTGATCGGGAAGAGGGAGACGATGCTTACCACAAAATTGGATTAAGAAGAGCGCACCTTTGCCTAGCCAAAATGGATATAAAGTCTTGTTGAAGTCGTAATTTTAATTTTAACTCTGACCTTAATTTTTGACAAAACTGCACTTAAATTTCCATGAACGCATCAAATCTGGCAAATTTTTCCTTAATAATGAGAAAAGCCATCGAACTTAATTACGCAGAAAATATTACTTGATCGGAGGCATGTTAACGAAATTAAACATATCAATTAGGTAACTTCCACTGTATCCGGAGAGACTAATCAGTAAAAATGAAAAACCAACGTTGAAATGCTATAAAAATTTCATATCGCTTTATTCAGATCCATGTAATGAGCACTTCGAATTTTATTGCATTTGTTAAGGATTTGAGATTTTGTTTCCGAAAGTTTATAGATATTTCCAAAGTTTGACATAGGTTCATTTTATTTCATAAATTCAATGAATTAAAAAAAAAAGCTATATAAAATAAGTCTACAATTAAAAAGAATTCTCATGTTTAAAAAAAATCGGATTATTTCATGTTTAAGTATATATAAATCAACTAAAGTGGCGGTACACTCCTTAACAATTTTTTTTAATTCATCAAATGTAAAACCATCAAATGAGTGGGTTTTGGTGTTTGAAGTAGATTCAGATTCAATAAAATTTTGTTTGACCAAAAAACAAAACGAATGGGTTACATCGAAAATAATCCGACTCAAACTGATCAATTTCCATGCAATATAAATTTAATATTTCATACCTGACCCAATTCATATTACTAAAACACTTTCATATTTAACCTAATCTAGGAAAATTCACACCCAAATCAAGGCGAGAGCACGGAACGAGCGAGCGGCATATCGAGAGAGGGTAAGAGAGAGTGAAGAAAGAATTATTGAGATGAGTTGGGTCAAGGTAAGTTGTGAAACCATATAATTCGAGACTTTATCATTTTAAACACATTTCTAACCCATTTACAGAATACGAATAACTTATATGACAACCCAGCTAGTCGAATACGGGTTAACAAATGCATTTATAATCCATTTTGACAAAAAGAATGGTCTATGGCTCATTTTGACGGGCCTAAAAAGGTAGGCAACAATGAATATCGCGGCAATTACTTTTGGAAGATTATAAGGATCACAGGAGCAAAAGCAGATTCAGATTCATTGTGACTCTCCAAAGATCTCCAGCATGAATGCCAAAGTCTCGAATTTCTTCCTCTCATCAAATCCCAGTTCTCCTCCTGAATCCTCCTCGTATGATCGACCCACCCAGAATTGATGCTGCTCCGAATTTGGCCGATCGCACCATGATCAGTGCCAGAGGCGAGAGAGAGAGAGAGAGAGAGAGAGAGAGTGGCAGGGGCACTTTGATCTTTTGTGGGTAGCCGGCGATTGACCGGAAGTGGGGGCCAGCCGGAATTCCAATTTGGGCCCCAGACATTCCCATTCCGATCCGCACTCATTTCTAATTGTTACTTTTCTCTCATTTAAAAATCGTTACTTTCCATCGAATTCTCTAATAGTTCGGTGAAAGAATTTCATTCATTGGGTCTCTGCGTTCACACACCCTTTTGACAATCCGAATTCAGAGCGTTGGGTTTCGTTATTTAATGCACACCCTCTTTGACTTCTCCGCAAACGAGCGTGCGTAGCAGGGTAGCGGAGAAAGTCGGTCGCACAAGGATCGAGAGTTTGGAAATGGTACTGACAATTTGGAGAGAGAAAAGGGTGGTGAAGAGCTTGAAGAGAGAGAGAGGGAGAGAGCTTTGGATTCTTGGCTCATCAGAGGGAAAATCAACTCACTTTTGTGGTTTTTGTTTTCACCCTGATGAATTGTGGAGATGAGCTGGGGATTTGATTTCTTGTGGGCTCAGTCAATGCTTTTGGGCTATCAAAAGGTAACTTTTTTGGTTAGAGCCTGTCTTGTTCTTTACATAATTACCTCTTTCCTGTGGGATACTGTGATGGGTTTTGTCGATTCTTGAATCTTTATCTCTTAACTTTGACAGAACTTTACTGTTGATTGTGGTTAAGGCTTATCTTAGTTCATGGGGCTGTGGTGGCTGGAGTTTCTGGGTTTTGGTTCATTCTCCTTTTTGTCATGCTCTTTTGGTGGTAGAAGTTGAATAATTGGACTAGTTCAGGGGGAATTGGTGAAGTGCTGTTTCAGACTACTGGTAGTTGCAGTCTTTTATGAATCTTTCTTTGGATTTTTGCAGCAAGTGTGTATGTTTTTTGACGATCACGGAAGTTATGTGTCCATGGATTCTCAATTGTTGTAGGACAGGCAGGTTTTCCGAGTAGATGCTGTCATGGAGTTTTATTTTGGTTGGGTTCTTGTATTGAGCACTATCCGGTCATAGATGTTGTTCGTGCTACATTTGTGACAGGGATTTGGGATGAGCATTGGGATATGATGAATACAGAAGCTTGCTTCTTCCTTTACTTGTGATTGATATGAATGAATCTTATGATGTTCAGATGTTGATCTTCTCTATTTTGTTCATGTTGCTTCCTTTAGTGGCACCTCCAGTGCAATGAAACATAATGACATCTAGGAATTGGATGAAAAAGCGGAGATTCAGCATTCGAGGGAGGTTAAAGAAGATGATGAAATGCATCTTTTCGGGAGAGCAGGTACGGGTGGATGAAATGATAGACTCTTCAGAGTCATTGGCCACTCGAGATTACTCAGCCAGTGGGTATTCATCTCGAGCTGGTGAGGCAGAACCAAAGGTGGATAAGAGCAATATTGAAGAAGCCGAGTCATCTCTCCGGGAAAGCGGTTATCTAAACTATGAGGTCAGTTTCTTTTCTTAAGTTATTTTTTTTTCTTGGCTTTTGTGATAACGGCTTTTAAAAATGAACTCTCAATGTCTACTACAAAACCTCCTAGCAATTCCATTTTCGGTGCTAAATTGCAGAATTTTGGGCTTTCTGTCTTATAGTTAGTTGCATAGCTTATTTGTTTTGGTATTTCATCCAGATAGTGATATTAGGTCCCTTAAGCATCTCGTGATACGTACAGACAAGTCTCTTATTGTTGTGATAGTGCCAGGGTGATAGGTCCCTTTACTGTCTTGAACTGAGTTGCCTTTTTTAATGTGGAGGACTCTTGGATAATGCTATAAGGCATCGTGGGAATTAGGATTGCATGGATGACTGCTGAAAATTCTGTGATTGTATCTAAGAATGGCTGAACTGAGAAACTTGATCATGGCTGTAGATCCAGAAGAAGTTTGGTTCTGTCATAGAATTGTGTATTATTTTTTTCCGTTAGTGTGGATCAGAATCTGTTGTTCTCCGGGCAGAGCCATGTCATTATGTTACTTCTTCTAACACATATTTGCCCAATACATTACAAGGAAGTTTAGTAGTGAACTTCCTTCATTGGGTTTGATGTTATCCATGACCATGTAGAAGGACCTAAGCCTGCTTCATCTAGATTCTTTTAACTTGCTAAAAGAATTTCCTTTTGTAATTATATTATTGGATCTCTCACACACAGGAGCGAATCATTAGCTAAAGTTCTGTCCAGATCCACACTTTGTTTTCCACTTGACAAATTTTCCACAAACAAATGAAATGTCAGGATTTCTTCCACAAGTCAGACAATGGATTTATTTTAGGCTTGTGGTCTTAATATTGCCTTATCCCGTGGTCATTCATGATCTGTTAGAAGTTAACTGTTCTTGTGAATTTTAGGAAGCAAGAGCATTATTGGGAAGGCTTGAGTATCAGAAAGGTAATATAGAAGCTGCACTTCATGTGTTTGAAGGAATCGATATAGCTGCTGTTACTCCCAAAATGAGAGTCTCCATCTCTAGAAGAGGCGATTATAATAGACGTCACTCGCAAAGTGATGCCGCACCAACCATGTCCATGCATGCTGTTAGCTTACTCTTTGAAGCTATTTTTCTCAAAGCAAAATCCTTGGAGCATCTTGGAAGGTTTGATGGTAATTTCTTTCCTAAACAACATATGTTTTGATTTTTGTACAGCCAACATCTGCATTCATATCATTGATGTTTTTTCTAAGATCACACTATGGAGCTTGGATAAATTCATTAAATCTTTGTTGTGACCCAAAAATAAATAATCAGCTTTTTTTTTCTATGCGTATTATCATGAGACAGCACTAAACCTTTCTCTTTTTGTATTCTTTAGACAATTTTACAAGGGATTGACTTATTTTGCAGAAGCTGCTCAATCATGCAAAATTATTCTAGACACTGTTGAATCTGCACTTCCAGATGGCTTGCCTGAAAGCTTCAAGACTGACTGTAAAATACAAGAAACTCTCAATAAGGTTGTTGAATTACTTCCAGAGTTGTTGAAACTTGCCGGTGATTTCCAAGAGGCTATCTTGTCGTACCGCCGTGCCCTGCTGTATCACTGGAACCTTGAGGTGGAAACCGCTGCAAAGATACAAAAGGAATTTGCAATTTTTCTTCTCTATAGCGGTGTTGAGGCAAGTCCTCCAGACCTGCGTTCACAGATCAATAGTTCTTTTGTGCCAAGAAACAATGTAGAAGAGGCGGTGCTTCTGTTGCTAATCTTACTTAGAAAACGTGCACTTGGAATGATAAAATGGGACTCATCTATCATGGATCACCTTTCTTTTGCCCTATCTGTCTCTGGTGGATTGAAGGCCCTTGCTCATCAGGTTGAAGAGTTGCTCCCGGGAATTTTCGAAAGAAATGACAGGTACTGCATTTTGTCTCTTTGTTACCACGGGGAAGGGGAGGACATGGTTGCATTGAATTTACTGAGGAACTTGTTTAGAAACAGAGAGCATCCAGATTGTATACTGGAATTGATGCTTGCTTCAAAAATTTGTGCAAAAAATGAAGTTTGTATTGAAGAAGGCATAGGCTATGCTTGCAAAGCAATTAGGGAATCACATAGGAGGTGCAGCCAGAAGGCCAGTATTTCAAATTGCTTGCTTGGGACTTTGTTATCTGCTAAGTCAAGATTAGTATCTTCTGATAGCGAAAGAACTTTGGAGCAATCAAAAACTCTTGCAGCTCTTGAAGTGTCTGAGAGAATGATGAAAGAAAGAGACCCCTTGGTTGTGCATCAGCTATGTCTTGAAAATGCTGAGCAGAGGAAGTTGGACATAGCGCTTTATTATGCAAAGCAACTGCTGAAACTGGAGGCAGGGGCTAGTGTAAAAGGATATATCCTCTTGGCTCGAATTTTGTCAGCTCAAAAACGGTTTGTTGATGCCGAGACTGTTATTAATGCTGCTCTGGATCAGACTGGGAAGTGGGATCAAGGAGAATTGCTGAGAACTAAAGCGAAACTTCAGGTTGCACAAGACCAGCTAAATAACGCCATTGAGACATATAGTCAGCTTCTGGCTGTTCTTCAAGTGCAGAACAAATCTGCAGGAGTTGGAAATAAGTATCGCAAGGTATTGTTTTGATCTACCTACACATAATATATTTGCCAAGACCTTTCTAATGAGGAGATTGATAACCTGGTGATTTTGATCTTCTCAAATGTGCCGACATGGGAATAACCCTTCTTGCTCTGTTTAGTTCTTGTACATCTCTTTTGGCTTGGAGTTAATCTCTTCCCTATAACTGATTAGAATAGTATAAAGAGAACAGTATGTCTGTGTTCACTATTAAGATTGGATCATCAGGTGATTCATCTACCTGGAATGGTGTTTAATAATATTTACTGTTTTGCAAATGACAGAGTAGAGGGCAGCATCACAAGAGCTTGGAATTGGATACGTGGAATGATCTAGCTAACGTGTACACCAGTTTGTCACAGTGGCGTGATGCTGAGATATGTCTTTCGAAGTCGGAAGCTATCAGCCCCTTTTCTGCTTCTAGATGGCACTCTACCGGTATGTCAAGTTCATCTCTCTCTCTCTCTCTCTCTCTCTCTCTCTCTCTCTCTCTCTCTCTCTAAGTGCATTTCTGCTCATTCATATGGAAGTTTTCTTTTCCCAAATAGTGATCCCCGTCTACTTCTTTTGCTTTATGGAAAAGTGTATATATCACCAAACTAACTGAGCTTTTAAACTTAGCTTTTGCATATGTGGCTTGATCATAGTGAGCTAATTGCTCTAAAGTTGATGATTCCAAGAATGAAAGTGGAAACATGTTTCACAATATTTTAGCAGAGAAATGTGTCCATGGATCATCAGTCGAGAATAATTTTTACCTGACAAAAAGATCATAGTTTTCATTTTACTTCTTTTCAGATTTACATAACAATTACATGCAAGGGCATTTCAAATTTTTCTGCCAAAAGGAAAACAAAATACCATAGCAGCTTCTGAAGTTCTTCACTGTACTTGAACAGTTAAATTTGCTTCCATCTGGTCAGATAAGAAAAGAGCATACCGAAGCAACTTTTCTTCCAATAAATAACTTTATTTATCGATCCTAAGTTTCAAGTCTGGACGAATGGCTCCTCTCAGTCTTCATGGATGTTGTGTTGTAATTCTTTATAGCATTGTCGCCGAAAGTCAAGTTTTGGCTGTTATCGTGCACTGAGTGTTTTGATTGGCTTCTGGTAGGTTTACTATACCAAGCAAAAGGTCACCACCAAGACGCCCTGAAGTCGTTTAGGGAAGCACTAAACGTTGAGCCCAATCACGTGCCAAGCTTGATTTCCACTGCTTGCGTCCTTAGACAGCTTGGAAGTGGATCTTTGCCGGTCATCCGGAGCCTCCTCACCGATGCGCTTCGACTCGACAGAACAAACCCATCAGCTTGGTTCAATCTTGGGCTGGCCTATAAATCCGACCCAGGAGCATCGGCACTTGAGGTGGCCGAGTGCTTTGAGGCTGCTGCTCTTCTGCAGGAGACTGCTCCGGTCGAGCCATTTAGATAACCTCTCTGTAGAGTGTAAATGGTTAAGGATCAATTGTATATTACTCATTCCTTATACACTAACTCACATTATTAAAGATAGATGTAAAGGTGATGGTGGAAGTCAATATAGAGTAAAAGCTTTGGGAATATTTTTTGGAATATCATTTTGCTCTCTATGGTTGAGTAGGAAATTGAAGCTGAAATCGACGGTGGTTTGAGGGACATTCACAGTTTTTTGTGGGTTGATGTTGTAATTTTGGGATTCAGCAGTTTGAAAGTTTAAATGTTAAGATTGCACATGCGATGCTTATCAATAATAATGATTTTAATAAGGGTCTTGTCAACTAGTCCACGCATGGGACTTGTTGAGCATACTTATATAGAAGGATCCGATTTTCAAGCGTTGATTATGCATACCATGAGGAGAATAGTGTGTGGAAAATTGCAAATTCACTTTAGTTAGCTTTTGAAGAAGTGTCAGGCGGTCCTTCTCAATAAAATCTTTTAATAGATAAAGAGAATGAAACTGTATCTTCCTTGCGTATGATCTAGCTACCACAAAAGATGCGCTTTCATCCACCTCACTTTCTTGCATATTTTCGTAGATTGAACTGAGTGATATAGTCAATGCCTTTCGCTAGAAGATGATCTAAAGATTGGTTGAAACCTGGCACTATATTGACTAGGAAAGCAAATTGAATCTCTCAGATTTTGCAGTAATTTAGGGATGTACTCTTTATAGTAAGACAAACTTCAGTCTTTGTAAGACATTCGACAAAGCTATAATGTGCAAAAGACTTGTAATAGAACTCAAATTTAACTGCTTTCTTCAAATTTCCAGCATCAAAACTGAGCATAAAGAGCAGTGTGCTGAAGCTATCATTAGAATGCAGTGATCATGTAAGAGTGGGTGTGTTCAAATGAACAGAAAATTTTTGAGGGAATAACATGTCAAGATTCAAGAAGCCCGTGAGGAAAAATATAAGCGCAAAGCTGAAATGATAATTTTGCTCATATGAAAAAAATTCAACCAGACAAGGCTAAACAAATTTACTGAAATAAGTTAAAAGAAGTCATCCATTGGCTTGTTTTTAATGACAATTACAAGGCCATATTGTTATTCTTTGCGTAAATCTATCCCTGCCTTCTTGGCAACAGCATCGAGTCCGTTTTTCTCAATGGTTTTCAATGCCTTTGTTGACAAACGCAGCTTAACGTAGCGCTTGCCGGCTTCCCACCAGATCCTCTTGTACTGCAGGTTCACAAACTGCAACTTCTTCGTCTTGTGGTTTGAGAAGGAGACTTTGTTTGCCCTGTTTGCTTTTTTCCCTGTGAAGGGACATATTCTGCCTGAAAGTGAATCAAAACTAATTCCATGAGCAGCCTCGCCAACTTATGAGATAAATGGCAACAAAGCAGCTATTTAAGTTCATGCTGACACTTCGACCAAAAAAACTAAAAAGTTCATGCCGACGCTTAGATGCCATCTAAAGCAAGCATAGCAGTGAAACTTTCAGCTGATGAGAAAGAATTCCACATCGAACATAGGCCAAGCAACCAATTAGATATGATAAATAAATATATATAATTTACACAGACGTGCACATTATTTTAGATAATATGAGGAGGACAACCCCCTTTATATCCCTAAGATATCAGTTAATAATGAATGTCCATTGATAGAACCAAACATATACAAGTATTCTACATGATAACCGGACGAAAGTAACTCTACAAATAATGAGAAACACTAATTCATCTTACTACTGCATCTCAAGTGCAAAGCACCAAAGAGGGGGGGGTGCCCGCATTGTAGGACAGGAAACTTTAGGAAAATACAGGCTAAAAATGACTTGTTCATCCTTACAATCATGCCAAAGCCACAACCACTTCCCTGGGGCACTTTTTTTCTTCTCCTAAATTGCGCCAAGGTCCTTTGCATATATGTGGATGGTAGTGGCTTAGAATTTAAACAATAAAATTCCTCAAGAATATGAGTTTGCACAATGTTAAAAATCAAACGGCTTTTAGTTTCAAAGGTCCGTGCAAGCCCACACTTATCTGAAAGGCATGAAAAGAGACCATCCTAATCTGAAGGCTTGCTAAGGGGGATTAAATGCTTTCAACAAGACAGGAGAAAGTCGGATTATGAACAATGAACCTACAAAGCCAATTGCGAGTGCATAACCACAGAATGCTGTTTGTGTCATCCATGATGGAGCACATGAATGAGAAAACCTCTCATTTTTAAGGCATTCTTGCATAAGCTAAATCAGGTCGCGTACCAAACCAACAAATACATTGTAATTGTACAGAAACATAACAAGATAAGAATGTCCCCTCAGCAATTGTTTCGTCTTAAGTTCCAAAAAGTTTGAAACTAAAAAAAGAACAAAACCAAGAAAAGCAAAGCCTTTTCCCACTGATCAACAGGCAATGTTAGGATGAAATGAACACCCAATTACTATTTAGCCCATCAAAGTCGAACCAAAGACTGCAATGAGAAGCAAAGAGAACAGATTCGGAGTTCCAAATGCGGCATGTTAGAACTGCACCGTGCAGAAACCCCCATGTGTGTCTCAAGGTCCGAACTACCCAGAGGCAAACGAAATTGAAGTATCTTTAAGCATGGCGAACAAGTAGACTAGTTCTACTTCAAAATTCATTCTTTTCCTCAATCACTACGAATGGCAACGTAAGCGGCTCGAAGCAATCAGACATGAAAAGAGCCAGAGAGCACCAACTGAAACAGCTTCCAAATCCCAAAAGACATAGAAACAAAATCCCGAAACTACCCCAAGCATCGAACATGAAGCAAGCGGATGAGGAACGAACCCACGTCATGACCACCATGATCGAACGAAAGAAAGCAAAGACAAGAACAAAGACCCAGAAAACTAGATGGAAAAAGGAAGACGGAAAAAGGGGCGTACGAGCAACGGGTTGCACTGCCGGCGCCGGAGCAGGTACAGGTCCGGCGAAGCGACGAGAGTCATCGCAGGAGACTCTGAGCCCGCTCAACTGTGAGGCGACGAACCCAATCTCCGACGAAGCCCTGGCCCTCGGAGGCGCAAGGGTCGTTCGGTTGAACTGGGTCTTGCGGAAATGGAGAGAGCAAGCGTTCCCCAACAGCACTCCCGAAGTCACCGTCGCCATAACCACCGATGAACGATAAGCGTCTTCTTCGAGAAGGCTAAGGAAGAGGGGGGGAGTGAATTTGGACAACGTTAAAAACGTTATCTTTTCCGAAGCTCGTTCTCGGCTTCGGTCGTGCTGTTTTGTGGAGCTGTGGAGAGTGGGGCGGAGAAGAGTTGAACTGTTTGTCTTGAGATTGGGCCAAAAGTTGGAAAACCGGAAGAGTTTTGGGTTGAATATTAAATAGGATTTTGGGGGCCCGATTGCAAAATTTGGCCTATTAGATAGATATGTGATTGGTATAAGTGCACGGAAGTTCTTAAACTTATCACGAAAGTGCAATTGAGTTTTCGGAACTTTCAAAAATTGCAATTAAGTCATTTCATTAATTCCATCCAATTTGACAAACGGAAAATGCTAACAAATCTTAGCATTTGATTTCAGTAACTTGATAAGTTTTAGGATTTAATTGTACATTTTCAAAGTTTTAAAGCTTCCATGGCACTTATTCCATCGCGATTCTATTACCTTCGAAGCACTTACCCATTTAACCTTCTGACACAATGCAATGCAATGAAGTTTCCAAACACCGTTTAAATTTATGTCATATTATGCTAAGCTTTTTTTTTTTTTAACTATTCGTTAATATTACCTACGTGGCAAGTGATACATGCGAAAACTCGGGGGCCTTCACATGTCGGCAAATGGGAAAATTGGAAAAGGCAATCGAATGAATGAACAAACCGCTCTTCATCTATTAAAAAGGTTTAGGACTGCTAACTTTAGGATCTCAATACTTATCGTACATACTAGTTAAAAGCAAAAAAGTTGTTGTCCATGCTATGCAAGAGGATTTATCTCACAATTGGATCAATCCTGATCTCTAGATGGCAATTCGTGCAACGTCATTATATTTATGAATCTAACTTGTTCTATTTCTAAATGACTCAAAGATGAATAAAACTTCACTCCGCATAAAAAAAATGAATGAAAACGTATCAAGTACCATGGACTTTGTTGAGTCAAATATAATTTAAATCGTGCTTCTATCATGTCATTGCTGTTGCATGTCATGCATCGGTAGAATAAATTACAATGATAAAATGCCAGTTGCATAGTCTAATTGATTTTTATATTGCAATTCATCCTCTAACATTTTCTTTTGGCAATTAAGTCCTCGAGCTTACTCAGTTTGTACATCATCAGTAAATTTTGACTTTTATCATTGTGTTAATGACTCTTACGACGTTGTTGACATGGCAAAACGGCTCTTGCTCCAACCCTTCTCCGTCCCCGAGACGGAGAGGGGAGATCATAGACAATAATATCACCCTGATCGGTATAGTCATAACCTATAATATTATCGCATACGAAAGTTCATTGAGAGGAAGCACAAATCATTTAGAATTTGACAATTTAATAAGAAAGGTCGAATCGAAAAGAATGTATCAAATGTCCCGTCACAATGCAAAACCATGCGATCGAGGTGCAGATGGTAATAATACACAAGCCCCCAAGACCAAACAGAAACATCATAAACAGTTGGCCAAAGGGCTCAAGGGAAAGTATTGCTCTATACTTTAGGGCTTTGAGAAACCAGGAGAGTAGAAGGAGGTAGATGCCTAGATGGAGAAGATAAGAAAAGAAGTGATTGTGTTGGTGAATGAAGGGACACCCACGAGAATCCTAGATCAGGCAAAAAGGAGACTTAAAGATGTACCTATAACAAAATTGCCCTATGGATTCATCAAAGGGGTTGGGGAATAACTGATGATAGGCTTAGAAAACCTAAGTCCAAACCCAAAGAAGGCCGAACTCGACCCCAAGAGAATTGGTTCGACAATCGAAGGATAGGAACCCGAATGTTTGGCATCGTCTTTGATTAGTCATATAAACATTAAGCATATGATCCAAAGATGTGAGTGAAACAAATCTCAAGAGGTCAAGGGATTGAAGTGGTATGTTTATAGAGGGCCAAGACACGCCAACAGGAGAGGTCTAAACAACCATCGACATTTTAATGAAGGGTCACAACGGCATTCATTGAAGTGGCCACAGCAATCTAATCAGTTTCTTCTACCGACCGCGAGGGGCACATGAGTGGGGGCTTTCCGCTCGAGAGTACAAGCACGAACGCCTCCGAATAGAGAGAGAAAGAGAGAGAGAGCAATCCCTGGTGAAGGTAAGCTTCTTCCCCAACTTAGGCATACACTCCTACTCTACTTCTGTGCTCTCTTAATTAAGATTCAATGGGCATCGAAGAGCTCACCAGGGGCTCTACCCGGCCCTCTTCTCACCTCTCTCATCGTGCGCAGTACTCCAAGACCCAGGTTACTGTCTACAGCAAAGACGAAGTTGCACGTCAGAAGCCAAAATCTGCAACCGTGAAACCTTGGACTATTGATGCTTGGTAACGGCAAATACCACATACCGGTCGTATGTATGACATTGCATTAAAAGAAATTGAATTGCAGAAGAACTAATGGTGTGAGAAAACCCGTGCTACGAAGTCCAACCAACCTATGCATCCCATTTTGGTGTGTCCCCAGTTCAATGGCATCCTAATGGATACTGGTAGTTATTTTCATACACGGACTGCTCACAAACTAGATCGCCTTTCTCAATGAAAAGGGTACGTAAGCAAAAAATGAACCTAAACCAGCATACCGACATGTTAATCATATCAGAGTGTTCCTGAAATAAACAAAAAGTGTAGAGGAAATGCAAATGATGTGGTCCCCGTCTGGGAACACACACAAGTGCACGTAAAATTCCATAATGCCTTGAAACTTCCCTTAAGAAAGAGTAGAGAGGAACAAAAGGCACGGGCTGAAGTTGAAATATCATTCCTAATGTACGTAAGTGCACATTAAACCTTTCTGTAGTCCCTATCCCCCCCTAGAATCATGGCTAATCTTCTTAAGCCCTCTGGGCAACTCCATGCAGTTTTAAGGTATCCGTTAGTCAGCAACCTCCGCAAGGAGAAAAATAGGCCACAAAACCCCCAACCTTATCATGGCACAAGTCAGTATATGTTACAATGTCAAAATGTGATATGGCATTGCCAAAATTCAAAGGAAGTCCAATACCACTTCAGAATGCTGCGATTAAATAAGGTGAAACCAAACCCTGACGACCGCCAGTAGATGAATGGAAATGGTCACAACAGTAATCGAGTTCACCCCCTCATAAGTCCGACAGAGAGGTCTGTGATGCATCTTTATGTGTCTAGGGGAATTAGACCTTCTGAGACAGTCATACTGTAACTACTTTAACTTGCCATTCTGTAATATTCATCCTCCATACTTTCTCCTGTAGAGATCAAGAGAAACATATTCCACTGTCACGGGCCGCTCGTCAAATAAACGCCCATGCAAACTATGTGCCGCCACGCTAGAGCACTCAATTCTTTTAAACTCCACTAAAACACAACCTGGCTCAAAAACCTGTTCAATATTGAGATCATCACCCTTAGCATCACCGTTCTGAATGATATCTGATTCCATATTCATGTTGCCCTCGGGTACTTCAAGAGTTTCTCTCGTCGACCAATTGCTTTCCTCTGGAAGCAACTCTTCTTCAACAAGTGATTTCTTTTCCAAATGATTATCCTCCATCTGAGCAATGTCAGCATCTTCATTGTCTTGATTATCTGGGTCACCATTCACAGTGTTCAGCTGTTCAGGGTTTTCTGAAGTCGGCATATCTGTTGTTCTTTGAGAGGTCAGGTCACTAATCTCCACTTGTGCATCAGGCGGAGCCATCTGAGGAGAATCATTATCAGCCACATCATCCACAAGATTGTTTTCATTGGTGTCACTGCTATTAGTTGCTGGGATGCCATCTTCTTTAAGTTGATTTGCATCGCTAGGGATCTCAATTTCATTGACTCCTCCAGCTTCTTGGTCAGCAACTTCTTCTGAAGTCTCTATCCTGTTGTCGTCACTTCCCGTTCTTGGTCCAGTGTCATCAGTGATTACACAAGGTTCTGCGATAGTCGAACGGCAAGGACCACTATCATGCTTCACAACATTCATAGATTTAATGGTGCCAAACCTGCAGGACACAGATACACCACAATCATATACATATGCTAAACCTGACAGATCAAGCCAGACTCAGACTCAGAGAAGGAAAATCTTTGCCAGACCTTGCACACTCCAGACGCACATCTTCTAGTACTTCATCCACTTCCAACTCAGAGAGAGACAAAAAGCCTTCAGGAGCGAACTGGCTCACATAAAGAGAACATACAATTAGTACCATCAGACATAAAATGGTATATGGACGGACATAAAACTTGTATCACCGAGAACTCAATTATATCTAGAAAGGTTGAGGACAAAATTGGCAGTACCCATGAGAGAAAAAATACAAATCAACCCTTTTTCTTCTTTCGAAGAAGTTGACTGACAATACATACAGGAAATCCATGAGGAAAATCAGTTCCATACCACATTTTTTAGCTTCAGAACTTCTGTTGGCTTCTCAAGAAGAGGCCTTGCATGGTCAGGAATTGCACAAAGGGACTGATTTTCACTATTTCCCTAAAATATACCAATTCCATTGTCAGCACATACTGAATTTAGTCAGTAGGAAACGAGAAACATAATGCAGTTAATACGGTAAATTAGTACCATTGCTGCTGGATCTGGGACAGCTTGAACTACAGTTAGAACTTGGCCTCCCAACTTAATACCATTCAAACCAGCACATGCTTTCAGAGTCACTGATTGGTCTACATACTGAAAGTGAGAGTCAAATTACTCAACGTCAACTAAGAAAGAGATTGCCTGGAAAATCAACCAGAAAAGGAGCAGATGAAAACCAATCACAGAAAAACTTTCAACAGACGCGAGTTTTACACCCAATGACATTTTCACAATAAGCAGATAAGATGTCTCAATTGCAAGGCATTGCAGAATTTCTTTGAGAGAGCACATACGGATTTTTTGATCAACAGAGGGTGGAGACACCATAATGAGTTGCCAAGATCTTTACTTTTTGAACAAGTGTAAATGTTATTTCTGCATATAAGTTCGATCCAGTTTTTTGGTTTTGTGCTTTTTCCTTGGTGGGGTGGGAATAAGCATAGACATAGTCAATGTACTCTTATTCTGCTTCCCATAGATGAGCAACCAATGATATTGAAGGATGCTAATATGATATAAAAAAAGAGTCCGGCAGAGAAATCACCCCATCCAATTGTCTGTCTAACTGGATTGACATGCATTCTGTTTAGGGGTGTGCAAAACGGACCGCCCAGACCGGACCGGCCGGTTTGGTCCGGTTCCCGGGAGTGTTGGTCCGGTTCCCTGTTCCTAAAAGTGGAATCGGTGTCCGGGCGGTCCGGTTCCCGGTTCCCAGTTCCAAGGGTGAACCGGACCGGACCGATTATATATATATTTTAATTTTTTTTCAAAAAATTAGTAAAATATAAACTAAACCCTAAGTGAACTTCATCGACATAAATTCATTGACAAAAATTAGTAAAATGTGAACTAAACCCTAAGTGAACTTCATTGACATAAATTCATTAACAAAAATTAGTAAAATGGGAACTAAACCCTAAGTGTTTGACCCAAAAAAAAACCTAAGTGACCGGTTCCATTGGACCAATTCGGTCCGGTCCGGCTCCCAGTCTTAGGACCAACCAGTCCGGTTCCCGGTTCCCAAAATTGGGAACCGGTTCTCCTCGTCCGGTTCCCGGTTCCACCTTGGAACCGAACCGGACCGGACCAGGAAACGATCACCCCTAATTCTGTTTAAACAGCAATCCTAGCAAATTAAGGACCACCGTACTCTCGTTTCACATGCACTAAACACCGCCTTAATTATTTTGGCCACAAACACCCTTTTGATTTATATCTAATTTCACCTCGCAATAACTGTCATAAGGACAAATACTCATTGCCTAACCATCAACAAAATTGTCAAAAAAATCATTGTCTTAAGTATTGTTTTGCTGAAAGAAAGATGTCTTGAATATAATAAAACTTTTCATTAGCAAAGAATCTCATGTTCAATGCGTACTATCAACATTAAAGAGCACAATGGTGCAAGTTCCGATCAGACCCTGCAATGTTAAGAGACAGACTGTACTTTTACAGAGTCAAGATGACAAAGTGCATTCGAATTGAAAGTTCAGGTACCTTCCTTTTCACAAATTTTCTGGAATAAAAAACTGCACCTATTCAACAAATTTTTTGGTCCATTCAAAAGTGCCACCCAGCCAAAAACACTCAAGGTATGGAACACTAACTTTGATTCTGTTTAAGAATTCTTAAAAGCACAAATACGACATAGATCAAAGACAATGGTACTATGCAATAAATAACAGCAGACGAAACAGCCTTAAATCTTAAGTATGTTCAAGCACTGGAAAAAGTTCATTGTGAAGAGAAAAGAAACACAGTAGGGGAAAAAACATATGCAACTTACCTCCAGGAAAGCATACCGATTGGTTGCATCATCATTAGCCTGGAAGTGGAAAGCTTTCAATGGTCCAAATACACTAGCAATTTCCCTGAGCTGAAACACAGTCAAAATTTGACAAATTACTCTTTTATGGGCAAAAACATTTACCAATTGAAGTGGATCAAATGAAACACTATTACACTCAGATTAGGCATCATTGTCAGGTCCGTACATGCTATCTGTGAGGTTTACCTACTTACCCTTTTTGGACAGGGTATTCCTAATGAGGTCCTCACAAACAGAGAAATGGGAAAAGCAGAGGAAATAGACAGACCAATAGCAATCAGAGCATCAAAATATCTAAGCACAGAGTGACCACTTGAATTAATCAAATTTAAGAGAAGAAGATTGTGATACCATTTCTGATGACAGCACCTTGGAAATTCCTCCAATAAAGATCTGCAGCCACAATAATGCAAAGATACATTATTGGACAAAAAATCTCTCAAAGAAAGTTAACAGCGACCAGCTCAATCCTGTCATCTTTGGGCAAACACCTAGATATCAGAAAAAACAACACAAAAAAAGAAAAAGAAAAAGAAAAAGCAAAAGTAGAATGGAGAGACAATCTCTAAAAGCAAAGAATAGCACTGAATCAACACTTTCACTCAAGCACATAAAGGATTGCCTACCTTGATATACTTAAGATGCTCACTATAATACTTACAGCATCCCCCTCTTCTGCAAATATAGCTAGACCGATAGAGACTAATAAGACAAGAACCGAGGTTTGCCATCTTTAATTTCCATTGAAGCATTATTTCAGCCTTTGGGTTTACCTGGTTCCACTTCTATCTAGAACAACAAATGGGAATTTTCTCTTAGTCTGACACTTGCTCAATGACTTACAGTATTGGTAGTTGTAGTTAATTAATAACTCGACTACAAAATTCTTTTGTGTTCCATTAAATGACCGAATTGTTGAAAAAAAGACATCCCGTTAAAAAAAAAAATCTTTTCAAAAGATTTGAAAACAAAAGAGACATATAGTAGAAGAAAGTAAAACCATATATCTGAAAGAAATCAAGATTATTAGACATATTAATGAGATGAACTCTTCAATCTGTTAAGAGGTTTATATCCTCCCCTTCAACTCTTCCGTCACACCTTTAACTCTTCCATTACAATCTTCAGATTTGTCCATTAAGAAAATGAATTATGCAGATTTTCCATCCAAAGATATCCAGTATTCAACAACCGAGCTTTCCATACTAATAAGTAAAATTAGTTTATCAATGCCAAAACCAAATGGTAAAAAGCTGTAGCAACTTAACAATGTCACCAGAGATCAACACTTCTAGGTCCAACTCATGTACCACCACAACACCTTCCAAGGAAAATTAATTCCAATAACACTTCTGAAATACCAATAATCTTCGTATTCATAACAAGCCAAATTTGGAATGCAATTCACCATAATCAGATATGACCAACATCCCTTGACAGCAGACATGACCATGGCAAGAACCACCAACTGTACTGGATATATTCAACATAAGTACAAATGCATATGCATTACAGAAATGCCAGTTCTTATATTATGCTTGCACTGGCCCATTACCCATGTAAAACCTTAGAGCTCAAAGCCTCAAACTAACCAATAGCACTTCTTGGGATTGAGGATTCTACAAAGAATGCTAGTTTAACCAGGAACTCACAAAAAAGCTCACTATCGTGATGACTACAACAAGATATCCAAGAAATTACCTTATGGGGTGAATCATCGACAACATCGCTCATCAAGTATGCTGCAACATCTGATCTTGCTGTTTCGCCAGGGTCACCAGTCTGCATGAAAATAGGAACTGTCTGAAAACCTACAACATGGATAGTAACAAAGATCTACCTCAGAAACCACAGATAAATTTGAACTACGAGTCAAGCAATTACATCTATATACAGCATAAAATTGCAAACACTTACAAGTTCCAAACTGAAGAAAAGGCCATTGCCCCCAGAAATAAACATTGAAGATACACAGAAATGAAGTATGTGCATAGTCAAGCACAAAAACATGCACAAACACTAACAAACAAAGATAAAAAGCAGAAGAGAGGATTGTAGTGCCCTCAGAAACATCGCATAAATTTTGGCATAAACATAACCAAGCACGTGCAACTATATATCTGACAACTTAGGCATTCTCAGTTATACTGGTGCTTTTGGTAGGTTCACTACATCAAACTCATATCCAGGATCACATCACCATCACTACCAGTGGCAGTGTTCATGTTGAGATTTAAATTACAAAAAAGTTTCTCAACTACTTTTTATGACAGCAATTTGTGCACCACTGAAACCAGCAAGATCCATAAGGAATTAAAAACCAAAACAACAATGTTAGCCTCCATTGACCAGTTTAACATCCCTGGACAGATATCAATATTTGATTGTTTTATCATTTTTCAATTTAGTCCAACCAGAGTTCTCTGACATTACTCAAATGGGGAAAAATAAATATTTGAAGCAATTGTAAGAAAAAATTTCCCATTGTAGTAGCCTTGTAGAGCCAAAAAAAAATGGATGAACCTTCAAGTTTGAAGGAAAACAGCTCAAGAAATGTCAAAGGTGCAAGTTATGAGGCCACAACATCTTAGTATGTTTGCTACTATGGACTGGATTAATTAACTAAGAAAGGAGATACCAATACAAGAAAAGACTAATCTCATAGACAGAAGTTGATGACTCGACACAGAAAATTATAGAGCTTTAAGCACAAAAGCCACTGAAAGTCAGATCACTAATCAAACCCCAAATCCAAAAGTCTCAGAAATCTCCACAATAGCATGCTTTACATGACAAACTCATCCGAGAATTATGAGTATCACCTATTCAGAAGTTGTACAAAAACCTTATGCTGCCAAAAATTTGGTTTCTCTCACATTTTACTCAGCATCATGCAACTATAATTTTCTGGCAGGATACAAACGAACACATTTCTGAAAGATTGACTCTTTTATAATATGCCAAAAAGATTTTAAGTTGGGAAAAAGATGCTTGCTTTAAGTTGTAAAAAGTAGCCCAAAAGCACCTTTTCTGAAAACCATCCTTCGAGCAGGGCCTCTCTTTTACCCCTATTTGAAATATCAGACTTCATGAGACCTGCTTGAAACTCGAAATGGCTGCAATTTTTTTCTTCAGGAATCACAAGATGTGTCTATATTGTGCACTTGCCATTCATCATCCAAAAGTCAACTGGGATTTAATGCTTTTCAATGCCTAAGCAAACATGCGATGAAGATTAAAAATGATAATCTCCCAGCCCTATCCAGCAGATACCCAAGTATACATTTGACTACCAACCATGAACGATTCTATTACTCAGATAGATATTGCTTTAATATCATCTTTAACTGAATCAAAGAAGGTCGAAATCATTGAAAACCTCACAAATGACTGAATAAAGATTAAGTAACCCTTATAACAGTAATTGGAACACAAATAAAATGGGACCATAATGGAAAAATTTTCAAAGATGATGGTACTCTATCAGACCTACTTATACAGGGTGGAGAACAAAAAGGTCTAACAAGGTGCAAGGAGGAGGAATATGCAAACTTCTCTCAGGAATATGTGGCCTCAATAAAAAAATGAAATCATAAGATATTGCTACAAAAAGATGGCTATGGTGTTCTCACGGAGTAGCATTATGGAAACCTTAATTGATAAAGCACAAGTTAAACCTCTGTTAACAGCCAAGCATGAGATGGAAGAAACGGCATGTGATCAACTAAATGAGATATAGAGAATTTCGAACAGCAAAATGTTTCAGAAATGACTAAATACTTCACTGCTTTTACTGCAGAAACTCCCCCAAAGGACTACATATATCTCTTGCTATTTTTTAATGGAGGACAACAGGTCAATTTGTGGTATTAAAATGTTTGCACAAAAAAGGAGAGATCATATATGAGCAGCAGGGTTCTGTTGCTGGTCAATACCGGAATCCATGACATGCTTAAAAGATTGCAATTCGTCCCAATTTCTAATAACAAATCAAACAGCTGACTCCTAACAACTCAGAAAACGGACAATTATTCCACAATCAGAAACCCTAATCAGTTGGAAATTTTCAAAAGATGGACTAGTAATGAAACTTCTTCCCCCCACCTCCTTCTCTAGAGGATAAACTTTTTTGTTACAAGGAAGATAGCCCCAGAAATTCCAAAATCTATCTTCACTATCCATTCAACAAACACCAAACAAAACGAGATAGCTATCTTCCGACCAGATGAGAGACCCAAAGCCAAAACTGATAAGAAACCTCAAGCACATCAACTGGTCACTACACCTGGAAATCTTCTTACTTAGGAGTCAGCTTCACCATCACCAGCCAGAATGTGACTTATGAAAGAACCAAGATAGACACCCTATTTAAGAGATTCCAGCTTTCAGTCAGAACACTCATCAGATATTCAAGAAAGCATGTACAAAATACTGAAATGAAAGCCACAGTTCCTAGTATCATGTTACATAAGCAATGGCAATCAATCTCCGACAGACTGATATAATTTCCCTAAGATCCCATCCCCCAAATATATAGTTCTCCGGATAGGCATTTCTCACTATACAAGCAAAGACTGCAAGCAACTTACAGAAAATATGCTATTCAGTTGGATAGTTGGTAGTCGGTACACTTCATGCACCCTAGAGAAACCAGAACAGCTAGGCAGAGAGACAGAAAGAGGGGGGGGGCAGGGGCGGGGGGGCGGTGTAGGGATTCATATGTCTTTATTAACTCAAACACTCAAACAACAAACAACTTGCATGCTGCTGTCATTTGATTTACCCATATGCAAAAAATACCAACTGATGCTACAAAATCCCAGAGCAACGAATACCCACCATAAAGGGATAAAACTTAACTGCTAAACGCAATCAATACTAGGAACAAATCAGCTGCTGCATTAACTTCCTCTCAAAAGCATCATCTCCAGGTGAATCTGTAGCTAATTCTCTTGGACATTTTTTGTCCAAAAGGTGCTTGTTTTCTGTTAAAATATAAACCCACATCACTTGATTATTGGTTATTCATGAATGCTTCAAAGTTGAAGCATCTTCAAGCTAGACGGGACAACTTCCCAAAAGTTGCTATAGGATACCGCAGCTTAGGTGTTGCTAAATACCCTAGAAAAGATGCAAACCACCATTTCACAGCTCAAACAGCCTAGTCATATGGAAATTAAATCATCAATACATTATTGTGTCCCTTGAACATATTTCACCTCTATCGCCAATGAGAACAAAAAAAAAATACATCCTCACATGCCTAGAGTTGTTCTCTATACTATATAAGTCCAGTCTGGACTAAGAAACCTTCTCTTGCAGATCCCATTTCACATGCATTAAAGCCCTCACTAACATTTCCCTTATACTGCAGTCAGATAATACAACATAACGCAAGATATACTACTGACTAAACAACCTCTAGCATATGGGGTGTCTTACCCAGGAGTAATGCAGGAGAAAATGCGAAAGAGACGTAGTCTCCCAGTGAATTTCTTATTTATTAGGCCAATTAGCAAATCTCTGAATTAATGATAGCATATGCCCATATACGACCACAAAAAGAATTGTCTTTGGCTCTTGATAATCTACATAAAATAAACTGTTTGTTAATTCCCAAAAAAAACTTGCAGAGAAGCAATTGTTGTGCCCTTCAACATCTTCTAATAAACTCCTTACCTAATGCTAATTAGTCAACAAATATCTTAAACACCAAATCCAAGTCCCACTCATTTGTAATACCACATTTGGAGGTGTGCAGTATATGTCTTCCAGAGTTTTGTTGACTTCATGGTTCTAACTTCCACCAATCAGAAAAATCACCGCATGTAAGAAAACAAACTAGATGAACCTTATAATCGTATCACAAGACTTTATGAGGCCCCAAAGTTGCAATTATCTAGTACATGCCGACCCTGTACACTGAAGCATTTTTTCTTACAACATAGTTGCATTTCCCACATAAGAATATGGGAAAGGAGACTGCATGAACCTTCATACTCAGGGGCACTCAACTTTGTGAAGTCCAAGATTTCCTAAACTAATCTAACTAACAGATTAGTCTAGGCTTTTTCCCTTTCATTTCTCTCAGATAATTTAACACCCTCAATACCAAAAGAATAAAAATTCCGATGATCACCTCTTGCACATGCCCGTAACATCGTGGAAGTCTTTAATGGAGATAGAATGATATAGCACTATATGGACAGACATGTAACCATAAAGAACGTATTCAAAAATAAGAAGGGAATAAAGAAGATTCTTACAGCCACTTCAACAAAATCCTTTGGACGTCTGATTTTCAAAAGGGAGCCAGAAAAGGAAGCTCCATCAAATGAAAGAGCAGCTGAAGCATCCTCAGGAGTGAGAAACTCAACTAAAGCTTGACCCTTCTCCTTGTGTATCTGCAATTTTTACATGTTAAGCTGCACAGATCCTCAATGATATAAAATACCAAGTCATTTTTTAGTTTGGAAGCTTACAATACAGCTGATGCATGGTTGGGTTCCCTGAATATGATTAACCCCTGAAGACAGCAAATAATTATTGAGACATGCCACAATGGCTTTCTCAGAGGCTGAAGCTGGTATGTTTTCTACATAAAGCCTCCTCCTAGGCCGTGTGGACTCTGTCAGTTGAATTGAGTCAATGGAGGCGGTGGTCTTTGTAGGAGGAACATTTGGAGACGCAACGGGCAGAGGTTTCATTGTACTTAAAGCAGCAGAAACAGCACTGGCCAACTGATGCGCACTTGATGGCATGGCTTGATTTGTAGATTGAAAACTATGCAAAACTGATGCAGTAAAGCCATCTTTTACACTCGTTGGAGGAATATCCCATCCAGCATTTTTCCTCTCTGGAGATCGTGTAGCAGGGGAAGGAGTCTTGATGGCTTTCTCAGTTTTCCTCTTTCTTGGGGAGTAACCACCGAGCCCGCTGGCAATCTCTCCATGTCCATGGGAGTGATTGCTTGAACCATTACCAAGAAATCTGGTCCTGTCAACATCAACATGGTGTCTTTCAGATCTATCTTTGAAAGAACTAGAGGACGACTCCCCATGTTTCCTACCATTGTACACTATACGTCTGTGCCCCTTCGGCGAGAGTGAAATCGATCTTCTGTCCCTTCCACGCTCTCTACTCCTTGATCTTTTCCTTCTGATATTTACTTCATCATTACGGGACTTTGTTAATTCTTTCCTTTCCTTTCTATCCAAAATTTCTGAATCACGCACTCTTCTCGGATCAAGTTTCTTTGACATGTTCCTATCTTTGATATCCCTCTCATCTATATCTCGGTGCTTTCTCTTACTTTCTCTCTCAGATTTTCCTCTACTTCTCTCAGTATACCGTTCATTGACATCTGGCTCTCTTGGATGCCCCTTTCCAGCTTTGTCTTCAAGATCATTTCTTGCCCGTTCAACAGGTTTGCTTCTATCATGCATTATCTTATAATTCTCCTCCCTGTTATCCTTGTGTCTGACTTCACTGCTTAGTCTACTCTTCAATTTACCTTCTAACTCGCGACTTCTCCTATCGTTCCCTTTCACGAGAATGTCTTCCTTAACGGAAGCACGCTCTTCTTTTTTTCTGGATCTTGCTCTAGGTAAAAGCTCCACTTCGTGGGTGCTTTTGTCTTTGCTTCTTGTGTAACTATCTTCCCTTAGGTAATGGGAATTTGGCCCCTCTTTACCTCTAAACCTTGACCTTGCTAGATCCACTGAAATTTGTTTTTCATTACGCAGGGAAATACGTTCAGTATCCTTGAAAGTTTTTTCAGATTCATGCCGGATCGGCACATTCTCAATAATCTCCCTCCTTGAATTTTTATCCTCTTCTGCATCTTTGTGTTTCATAGTTTGAGATGATTCCTTGCTTCTCCTCATCTTCATTATATCTTCAAAGCATAAAGGTCTGGTCCGAGCAGCAGTACTATCATCCTCGTCTTCATGTGATGGCTCTTTTCCAACACGCCTTTCCTTTTGTCTACTAGATCTGCTCATTTGGGCTCAAAGAAAATTACAGAGGTGAATCCTGACGATAGACCTTGTGCTGGAGATCTTAAGCCTATTAAACAGACAGAGGAAAAGGTAAAGAGCATATTAGCTCCCGAATTCAATATCAGCCTCTAGATATACTTACAAGAAGCATTTAATACCAAGATCAACTATCTACAATTCAAAATCCGCCAAAAAGTCATCCATAATAATCCGCTGAAAAAAATAGTCCTACAAAAACTGAAAACAGCTTCCCGCTGCAATCGAGTTAAATATGTAACACAGAAAATTACACCCAGCATTCCAATGGAGAAGCGATTGCAAATAACAATTAGATATTTGATACATGCCGTCATGGCAAATTCTAGACCCATGCTCAAATCAAGATTACCGCACTCTTCAATAACGCCTACATCCTAAGTAAACCAAGAAAAAAATGTAAGAAATAGTAAGACTTAATATCAGCATTCAAGATTAAAGTAGAAGCATCATCTGAAAAGAAATTAAAACACTACAATATTTTCCAGACCCTGATTGACAATCCAAACAAGTTAGCCAACTAATCATGACATGAAAAGCAAAAGATGGTTTTCACATTGATATAAAGGTTCCCGGATTGAACAGAGTGGAAACACAACACTGCTTTTGTAAATACTAAAGAACTTGCAAAGACTAAATCAAACCCTCGATGAATTGATCCCCATCTTAGTGTCCATGGGGAAAAACATAGAATATAGAATATGATCATGGAGTAAAATTGCTATTGCTTCAGCAGAGATATAGTACTCTACAGTCCAACGTGGGCAAAGTTCTCAAAATATTGAGGCGACATTGCAATTGCACTGGCAATTTCTTCGGTCATACAAGTGCTTTTGTATTTAACCATAATGTCTCGTATGCCCCAGAAAAAGTTTGTTCAAAACAACAGGAGGCTCAATGAATGAAAAACGGACAAAGAATCAAGACTTTTTTTTAATCAAAAGAACAAAGGATGACAGATCTGAAAAAATTATCTCGTTTTTACAAGTTTGGAAAAAGCCAGCAAGTAAGATGATCAAGTTTCAAATGGAACAAAAATCAGAACCACTCCTACACTTCTCTCCATACGAGTTTCATAGCCATGCGGTATTTTCATAAACATATTTGGAAAAAAAAAAACGAAAAGATTTTTTCACCTTTCATAAAGTTGGATCATTTTGGTATTGCAAGAATTAGGTCCTATTAAAGAAACAAGGGACTCCAGCTGTATGGCCACAACAAGAAGCTTATGATATTTTGATATGATTAACAACATAAGAGCACCAATCTTGTTGGCTAGATGAAGGCTCACTTGTGCACTCAACACGTACTAGCACTAGACAACTACGGGAGAGTTCTGTTTCAATAGCCATGTGTAAGCAGTCTGCAAAAGTAGTTACAACAATCTGTCTTCTACAAACAAGCTGAGGAAATCTTTCCGTATAACCAGTTTCAGTTGTTTAGGAAAACTCATCTTCTATTAAGTCTTTACGAATACCTTCGCAAAGAAACACAACAAAGAATTCCCTACTTTCAATGGCTTGAGACACGGTGCTTCAAAGAATAGACAAAATTTTACTCGATTCTTCTTGTAAGAACAGAAAGCAGTCACAAAGCTGCCTTCAAAAGAGCCCCTTTCCACGGTGCTGATCCGACCAAGCCAAAGGATATGCTGAAAAGACTCTAGAATCACCGCAAAAGCATCAATGCAAAAATTTCCCACGGCCCAAGTAGTTCACTCATTTCCCATTTCTCAAATCTACTAGCGACTGCTGATCGCAAAACCGATTCGTATGTTCCAAATGCAGCCGAACCCGCCTCACAGGTTCATGCGAAGCGTCGGTTCTCGTATTGAAAACAGGGAAATTCGCCAAGCCGCTCCATCAACGTGAGTGCAAGGCACAAATTAAGCTCCCATGTACAATCAGCCAGTCAAAACTAAAGCTCACAACACCTCTCATCACCAAGGGATGGAATTCGAAACCAAGCATTCGCAAGCAAGGCAAAGCAAAGCAATCACGCATTCAACCACTGCGCCGAAAGACGAGCTAGGGCAACCCCATTACCAAGACGTCCCGCACCTATACTTCCCGAAAGATGGGGGGAAGGAAAACGAAGGAAAGCGAAATCGAACGCAGACCCTTCAGCGGAAGCAAGCAATTCCGCTCCCGCGAGAAGCGAAGAGAGGTCAAAGGCCGAACCTTTGGGGGGAGGAACGCCGCCGCCGCCGCCGTCGAAGTTCTGGGTCTCGTCGGAAGAAGAGCGATTTGTCGCGGTGGAGTGAAGTGGGCGACCCGGAGGTGGAAGAAAACCTAAAGGATGGATGGTGGAAGCGGAGCGAACTACTCACATGCTCTCTTCCTTTTATTATGATAGGATCGAACTATTGATGTGGGATGGAATCATGGAAGGTCTAAATATTCTGTTTAATTTATGTGATTTCCCCTTGAAAGAAAAATCTCATGTGCTCAACAAGATTTTTGTTTTTTTTTTTGTCACTTTCTGATGATGAAAAATAAACCCGACCTGAGTAAGGTCGTTAAACTGCTCCATCCTAAGCCTCGCCAAGATCTCGTGGTCCCGAAATGTAAAGTAATTAGAGGGTTATTCTTTACTTCAGGGAAAGAAAAGCGTCTTGGGGTCTAACGCCGGGACATTTGTATGATTTCTCTTTGAAAGATTATATACTTCCCCTTTTTTTTTTTTCCGATGATGAAAAATAAAGAGTTCTTTCTGTCTAATTTTCTTTTGTCTTTGATTGGTATGGTTGGTTCGTGAAAATTAATAGGAAAAGTTGATAAGTCTCTAAAAAAAAAACGGAATAGGGCCGAGTTGGCTTTAAACATAACTAGATTTGAACAAGAGCACTACAGGGAAATATTAACTATATCATGATATTTTCTCAAGAATTGTTTCTTGAAAGTCACACGCATGCGACTCTAACTCGCAAGGCAATGGTCATTTTTATGTAAGGAGTAAATTTGCTTTTTCACAATTCTACTTGTTTTGCTTTCAATTAAGACTTTTGCTTGCTCGTTCAGTACCATGAATTTTGTTAGATAAAAAAAAATAGTTCTAATGCGAACTTCTATTGAACATTTCAACGTTTTTTTTTTAACTCTTCCTATTAAATATTTCCTTGAAATATATTTGTTATTTTTTTCTAATATTACGATAATGTTGTTGATCACCTATAAAAAAAAATTCATATATCCTATAAACAACGACAATTGAGAATTTTCTAACTATTATCGAGTCCTTGCATTTTAGGTAAATATAAAATATGAACTAAGAATTCTGTCCTTATTTCGTTTAAAAGAGGATGATTTTTGTCAAATTCTCTGAGAAAGTATCAGTACCATGAATTTGTTATTGAAAATTAAAGGAGTACCAAATTTAGAAAAGAACAAATTAACATCCACAATTGAGTTTCTAGCTGAATTGTACATTTCATTTTTTTATTGCTATTTTGGAATAGGAAAGTAAATGGGTTTTTTGAAGTGAGGTTTAAGAAAGAATAAAAAATTGAAATGTTGAATTAAGTTGAGATAGGAAAATAACAATCATAAATCATCAATTTGCCTAAAAAAGATGTTAGTAAATATTAATACATGCATAATAAAGCTAATTTGGTCTATTAACATAAAAAAAATGTTTTTAATAAAAAAAATGAAAATAAAGCTACCTTAAAACCGTTTTTGTGATGTCATTGCCAACTCTTTTCTTCCATCCCATAAAAATAGTTTTGTTCTTTCTTCTTAATATTTGCTAATTTTAAATCTCATTTCACTTGTAATGAGGTGAAATGTGGTCATATTTTATAAAGTTTTATACATGTGTGGATTGAGTTACCATGAAATTTGAAATGTCAAAAGACACCAACACATTTTACAAATCTCTTATAAGGAATAATTTCTTTCTATTGGCAACAAAAATTTTAGAAATTAAAACATGAGGGCATTATTCAAAACTTTACCAATTTTCGACCTTTGAGCGATCAATAATATCGACTCCAACTGGGCATTGAACAGCGGCATCTCTCATCCCGTGTACCTTATCACGGAAGAAATCGATCGTCTTAATAGGTCACAACAAGAAAGTCACGATCATAGCACAATACGATTAAGTAGTCCACGACAAAGACGAGATCCCTTTTCGAGAAACAGTTTTAATGAAAAAGCTTGAAATATCGTATCATATTTCAGTGAAAAAGGAGGAAGTGCAAGAGCGCTTCTAGATAGAATTTATCAAAGTGCAAACAATGAGATTGTAATTGGTTTTAATGGGAAAATAGGATTTTCCTTACCTGGCACAATTTCCATTAGATATTTATTTTGTTTTTACTATTGGGATTACTATATTTTATATATCTGTATTCAATTTTTATCATAATTATACCATAATTTGCAAGTCGATTAATGAGCTTTTGCAAAATTTGAGTTAATTGGACATCGGACGACAAGTCAAAAATTAACCAGGTCGTTCTCACCACTAGTTCTTGGATAACATCAACTAGTTCTTTCAAAATAAATGCAATCATACTTGCAGAGAAAGAAAGACAATGTAAAAAGGAAGTTAGGTAATTAAGATATTTTCACTTCAATATTTATATTATTTGAACAACCTTTCGATGAAAATAATTTCTTTCGGAGATGCTTCATAGAAGATCAAACTAATTAATTGCACAACATAAACTTATGTTTTAGAAAATACTAAGTACACACTAAAAGAAAAAGGAACTCAAATAACAATGTATCAATATTTTAGCGATATTACGAATATGATGTTGTCCCCTCCATAGTTGTAATATACACTATTTGGAATATACATTGAAAGTTCGACTAATTAGCTTTCAATAGACATAAATACAAGTCAATTGAATGTCGAACAAAAAAGTTATGATTGTCAAAATTGAGTACTTTTTGGTCGAATTTTATGTAAAAGTATGACTACCATAAATTTGTTAATGAACAGTAGAGGAGTACCAAAATTTATAGGAAAAAAAATTAAAATCCCCAATTGAGTCTCTAGCTGAATACACGTTCCATTTTTTTTTATTGTTATTTCGGAAGAGAAAGTAAATGGTTATTTTCAAGTGAGATTCAAGAAAGAATAAAAAATTAAAATGTTGAATTGAATCGAAATAGGAAAATAACAATCATAAATCATCTATTTGCCTAAAAAAGATGTTAGTAAATATTAATACATGCTTAATAAAGCTAATTTGGTAAATTAACATAAAAAGATGTTTTTTGTAAAAAAAAATTAGAAATAAAGATACCTAAAAACTGTTTTTGTCGTATCATTGGCAACTCCATTGTCCATCTCATACAATTTTTTTGTTATTTTATCTTGATATTCGCTAATTTTAAATCTCAT